GCCGGCCCCGGGCCGCCCGCGCCCCCGCGGCCGCCGCGCGCCTTGGCTCCCGCAGCCCCGGCAGCGGCGGCGGGGGCGGCGGGCAGGTGCAGGGGCGCGGCGTGCGGGTGGTGCGGGTGGTGGGTGTGCGCGGCGCCCCGACGGCCCCGGCTGTTCTTGGCGAAGAAGATGGCCCAGCCCGCCGCGACCACCAGGTCGGTGGCGACCCAGGAGCACCAGTACAGGTCGGTGACAGCGATGAGGTACACGTCCAGCAGGCCGCCCTGCGCCAGCAGCAGCGCCACGGACAGCGCCTGGTAGCCCCAGCGGCAGCCCGGGCCGGGGGCACAGCCACGGCGCCCACCGCCGCGGCCCGGCCGAGCCCGGCGACCGCAGCAGCAGCAACACGAACGGCAGGAGGGGCCGGGGCTGGCGCCGCCCGCGCCCCCGACGGCCCCGGCGACGGCGCCCGCGCCCAGGTCGGCGGCGGTCATGCTACGCGGGGAGGTGGGCGTGGAGGCGCAGGAGGCGGCGGCGCTCCCCGGGGTCCCGGCGGGCACCAGCGGCCTGCTGATGCTGGCGCTCTCGTCGTCGTCCTCCCGCTCGGCGCCCGCGCTGCTGCTGCTGCTGCCGCTGCCGCTGCCGGTGTCGCCGCCGCTGCCGCCGCTGCTGCTGCCCGAGCCGCTCCGGCCGCGCGGGAACCGGGGCTGCAGCCGGGCGGGGGGCGGGGCCGCGCGGGGGGCGCCGGGCGCGGGGCGCATTGTCCTCGGCTCCCTCCCGCCTACCCGGCCGGAGCCGCGCACCGGAGCCGAGCCCCGTGGCCGGGCGCGCGCGGGCTGCTGCCGACGCGCGGTGACGGCGGCGGTGACGGCGCGCGGGGCGGCCCAGCCGAGAGCTGGGGGCGGGGCGGGGAAACCGGGATTGGATTCGGGGCCGGGAGGCGGGAAAGCCCGGCCGCCGTGTCGGCAGGAGGAAGGGGAGGGGTGCCGGGGCGCGGAGTTGGGGCGGGGAGGACGCAGCGTCGGAATCCGAGGGAAGCGATGGTATCCCGGCGGCCGGATGGGAGGTGGTCGGCGAGGTCCCACCAGCTGAACCCCTGGGGCGTGAGGGACCGGGTGGCCTTGGTCTCAGTGTAGGCCATGCCTTTGAGCACCAGGCTGGGACCTCTGCAGGCACCAGGGCAGCTTTAGCCTCTACTTCGTCCGGTGCCCTTTCCGCTGGGCCGTCCTGCATCTCCCTAAGGCCCTTGAAAACCGAAGGAGGAACCAGGCCGCACTGATTAAAAGACCAGGACCGGGAGCCCCAAACACATATTTCGACATATTCACGTGCCCTGCTCTCGGTTCAGTGACCGGCCCGGGGGGAGGGAGCAATTTCCAGTGAATGGAGCAGCTCTCTGAATATAAATGCTTGGGAAGAAAGGAGCAGTAAAAGGACGGTGCGTGTGGCCCCAGCCAAGAAGGTTTTCAGTATTCTCTGACATTCTTAAAGCGGGAATGGGAAACAATAGGAAGAGGCAGCTAGCAGAGGAAATTAAACACCTAGAGGTGCCTCCATGGAAAATAGGCCCAAAGCTGCGATGGTGAATGCTACAGACGGGGCCGTGGACGGGAACACAGCAGCCCTGCAGCTACAAGTGCAGAGCTCTGTACAGCCAATCCACGGCAGATGTGGGGTTTAGCACCCGCAGCCCACCCCGGGCACACGCCGGGTCCGTGTCCAGTCGTCATGCAGCGCAACAGGTGTGGGGGGCAGCTGAGCTCCGGGGTGCGGTCTCAGCTCTGCCATGTGGCCTGTGTGATCTTGCACTGGTTATTTCACCTCTCTGACCCTAGGATTATCCAGCTGTAAAAAGGGACCAACATTTACCTTCCCAGACTGCTGTATTAAGAGAGGTCACGAGTTCGAAGGGTTTGGCCCAATGCCTGTCACGGAGTGTGTTAAAGGTAGCTGGTGTGATCACCGCAATTCCATTTAGCTCATGTGTCAAGCCCCGGGAACATTTACTCACAGCACAGGCTACTAATGACTGTTTTCTGGGCTGGAGCCCTTCCCGAGGCCACGTTCCGAGCTCAGCTCCCCGACAGCTCTGTGCTTCGCAACGCGCCAGGGAGCAGAGCAGCTCTCGCTGGGAGCAGCGGTTCTTGGAGCTGGTCACAGGCTTCACGGTGTGAGAGATTCAGCCCTGCCCGCTGGCGCCAAGACCACCCACACGGGGCAAGGGGGAGCGAACAGCGCACGTGGCCCGCATCCATGAGCGTCACAGCGGGTCCGGCGATGTCAGCACGGAGCCGGTCCAGGTGAAAAAGCGGGCTGGGAGCTGCCAACTGCTAATGGGACAGATTACAGCCTGGCTCCCAGCTCTCCCCCAGGGAGGACACCAGCCAGCCGCTAACCTGAAAGCTGGCCCACAACTCCTGCTCACGTCAACGAAGCAGTAGAAGAAGCGGGAGCAGCTGATACAGGCTGAGAACTGGGCTGCCGAGGGGACGCTGGCGAATCTGTCCCCACCCCACCCGAGACCTGCTGCCCTGGCCACCCGCCCAGCTCCCTCCTGCCCTTGCCCATCAGGCCAGCCCTCGCCCAGGGTACCTCCTGAGGACAGGTTTCCTCCCTGGGAACTTGGGCTGTACCAGCCGTTTGAAGTCATCCTTGCATTTCTGGGAAATGGACTTCAATTGCTCAGAGTAACTTCTGTATGAGATTCTTTAACCCAATTTCTTTCACGTCTGAGGCTCTGAATAAAAAGATCACAGACAATAAGGGGAAGAAATCAGGGCACACGACAGAGTATGCTGGTGGTCTGGGTACCAGAGGGACCTCGGCTTTGCACTGGGTTATGTCTAAATCTGTGTACACACTTGGGCGCATACACGCACACACACAATCACAGAGACCCTTTGCTTCAGCCCGTGATGGGCTTGACAAAGATGTGGCTAGGATGAGAAGAAGGAATTTAAGACTTTCTCGTATATAAAGTAAGTACAAACATCCCTCAAGGATCTGGAAAAGGGAAAACACAGTCACCGAGCAGCTCCTAAGCCCCAGAGTTCTGTGCTTACATCTTACGTGCGATACCTGGGGACGGAGACAGAAGGAGGGTGCCCTGCTCCCAGCCACACAGCTCGTCATGGGCAGGCCTCTGGCTCCCAGCCCAGTACTCTCACCCACCTACCACGCTCCTTCTCACAAGCCTAGGATGGCATCCTGGGAGTCAGGGAAAAACTAAGCAGTTTTCAATCCAAACGTCATTTCCCTGAGCACCTGTTAAACCTTACCTGTCATTGGGTAAGGCTCGTTTGGAGACCTGACACCCTCATCCTCCTGGGGCAGCGGAAGATGGGCCGGGAGGGAGGAGAGATGCCCCCGTCATCTCAGCAGCCCGGGAAAGCGCAGCGGGCAGGGCCAGCCCTCCCAGCACTGAACCAAGGCCCAGTCCTCACGGAGCCACCGTCTGTTTGTCAGCCTGCCCTCTTCCTTCCACAGCGAGAATGAAGGGCAGGGCCGAAGGGCGCTGTCGACGAGCATGTGGGGCCTCACCGGGGCCCCCCGTGGAAAGGCCCAGCAGGCCCTCTGGTGCCCAATCTCACAGTCACGGTGCCGACTGCCAGAAGTGGAGGGGAAGTGGGCAGGGGGCTGTGGCTGGAGGAGGACGGGTCTGCGAAGCTTCGGCGTACTAGGAACTGAAGCCTCAGAACTCCTTGGAGAGTCTGTGACGATAACACTCCAGCTACCCCACTGCAGAGCGCCCCTAAGGCCCGGAGCCAGGCTGTGGCTTGGACCACCCCATGGACGGCCCACAGCGAGGCGCTACCCTCGTGGGCAAAGGAGAAGGTCCGGCATCAGTGCCTGCAAGTGTCACTCAGCCCCTGGCCTGGGTGCCAGGGCTCCAGAGGCTAAAAACACCAAGTCCTTTCCTAGGAGTCCAGGCTGGGAGGGGGACAGACACATAAACAAGAAAGCACAGTCAAGTATTGTGAAGGTTATGGCCAAATTCTATATGGGGCCTAGAGGAGCAAAGGACATGAGCACTGTTGGGAAAGGAAAGCAGAGGCTGGTTAGCAGCTGGGACGTGGACTCGGGACTGGTGGGCATTTCAGGGAGGAGCAGGACAGACGGAGGACACACAGTGTGACGTCGCCAGGCAACGCCGAGGAGTTCCGGATGCTTGGCCTCAGTATGAAGTACAAGGAGAAGGGCATGATGGGTAAACAGAGGGGATAGGCAGGGCCAGGTCACAGAGGACCTCGGGGGCCAGGCTGAGCTTGGGCTACATTCCAGGAGAACAGGGACCTCTTGAAAGCAGACATGTCACATGGACAGATTTGCGTCATAGAAAAATTACTTTGCAGCAGAACCGATGGGCTGGAAGGGAGAGAAAATGGAAGCAGAGACTGTGTTCCATTCTGGCCATATTGTGAACAAAATGCATAAAACCTCCCAGCTTACCGAAAACACCAGGTAAAACTGAACAGTCTAAGTGCGCAGTTAAGAGAGTAAGATGAACCCTGGGGGCCGTCCATGAAGAGGAAACTGGAATGGCGAGTGAAGTACATGATGCTCCAGATGTGTGGTTGGTCTGATACAGCGGGGACCAGCCACAAGCAGCTACCTAAATCTGAATGTATTTAAATAAATATCAACTGGGACTTCCCTGGCCATCCAGTGGTTAGAGCTCCACGCTTCCACTGCAGGGGCCCGGGTTCAGTCCCTGGTCAAGGAACTAAGATCCTGCAGCTGCATGGCGAGGCCAAAGGTAAATAAATGAATAAATAATAATAATAATATTATAAATAAATAAATAAATACCATTTGAAATAAGTTAAAATTTCAAATGCAGTTCCTCAGTCTCACTCGGCACATTTCAAGCGCTCAGAAGCCCCGTGTGACTGGTGGCCGCCACCCGGAACAGCAGATACAGAGCAATTGCATCACTGTGGCATGTCCTCTTGGGCAGCACTGGTGGGCACGTGGACACCTGACATTCAAGCCAAATGAGACAAGAGCACAGAGCTGAGCTTCCTGCATAAATCCAGGACTCAGTGAAAGGGCGAACAGAAAAATAGATCTCCCACCCAAACAGGCAGGCCACAGGCAAATGAATAAGCATTGACCTAGGCTTGAAGTGGCATAAAAATCTCTCCTGGGAATTCATAACCATTGGACTATACCACCCATAGATTTGAGATTTGCACAATCTCAGGCTGAGAAAGTAACATAAATATTGGCGGTAGGCTGGTAATAACCATGGATACCTAGCAAAAGCAAATACAAAACAGTTCTGGGGGGACATACCGTCAAACCAAGCCTTAGAGGATTCCCACGGATAAAGCACCAGTAAAAGTCAGTTCACGATACCAAACTGCAAAACACACAAGGAAATAACCCATCATGAATGAAAGCCAGTGTATGAAACATGTAGCAAGATTAGACCCCCAGGAACTTCAGGTGATGACGGCTATAATACCAATAGGTTTAAAATGATGAAGAGCATAGAAAAGAATAAAATACTATGAAAAAGAATAGTGGAGAAAAAAGAAGGAATAAGGCAGGGAGAAGTACATCCAAGAATCACAGTGTGTGGATCTCTGTGAATTTTCTCCCCAGTGAAATAATCATAACTGGTGGAAATTATAAAAAAACAACCATTTACACAACGTTGTACTTCAACTATACTTCAATAAAAAATAAATTTTAAGAAAACATTTAAAATTTCTTTTTTTTTTAAATTTGGCTGTGCCACGCTGCTTGCAGGATCTTAGTTCCCCGACCAGGGATCGAGCCCGGGCCCCCAGCATTGGAAGTGTGGAGTCCTAACCACTGGACCACCAGGGAATTCCCCCATTTAAAGTTTCTGAAAATTGTCTTAGGGCACACAGCAAATGGAAAAACGTTTATTCAAGAAATCTGCTAAATCTCTTTGAGAACAGTGAGAGTCTGTGGCATTGAAGCCACAACCTGTCCCGTCCCCTCCCCCAGCTCAGTGTGGCAGAAACTCATCTCCAGGTGAGCGTGGCCAAGAAGGGGCCCCTCCTCCCCATCTGCGAGTGTAGGACAATAGCTTCTCTCCGGAGGGGCTGGTCACTGCATTTCTCATCTCCCCTCTCTCTGCCCCACGGCTTCACGTGCAGAAACTCTGTTCCACAAAAGCACAGCTGAGAGGCCTGTGGCTCCCTACCTCCACCCAGTCCCCACTTGTAGACTGGAAGCTCTAATCTAGGTGCGGCAGGCCTTGGTTACCTTAACCCAATCTCCTGTCCCAGCTCACCTGTAGGGTAGAGGTTCTGTGCAGGGAGAGGCAAACTGAGAAGACAAGGGGCTACTACCC